ACATGATATCTGTCTCAGAAAACTCAAATCATAACCAATCAAACCCCAACCACTACCCCCCCCAAAAAAGCAAGAGTCCTTTTCCAGCTTCACTTCTTCAGCTGGAATCGAGGACTATCCGGCGCCCAACAAAATGGAAAACTTGCCCTTCCACTACTTCCAAATTAAACTTGCTTTTGCTCAGTTTTTTTTAACAGCTGCACCCCATCCGACCATTTCACGGCGCTTACCCACCCGCTTGCCTTGCAAGGAAAAGATTTCGCCCGCAGAAACGACACAACCGACTCTCCGATGTCCTATATACAATCGCTCGTTGAAATTTAAACTCGCGCCTGGTGGTCACGTGGGCAACACGACTCTGCCGATTGGTGCAGTCGGGGGCTTGAAAGTAGCCAACCAGAGACAAGAAGCGCACTCTTCTCTCCAGCGCTCAGCAGCCTCTGTGGTTCTTTTGAAAAATGCATGCCGGCTGATAACCATTGTTTCCCCTCCCCCCCCTCCTTCATGGATAACCGTCCAAACTGGCTATTTTGTGCATATAAAGTTCTGCCTATAATCCTAGTTCTACCTCGCCTTTTTTTCCTCCTGTAATTTGTGAGTTCCTTTTTGGAACGAATGCGTGCTGTAGCACAACTATGTCCAGTTCATTTTCTGTCTTTTCATTTTGGGAGAAAGAAAGATGGAAAGTTGGAGTCTTGGAAAACAATTTTGAAAAAAAAAATTATTGTCCCACTAGCTTAGGAGTTGTTTCCGTTTATAAATACAGATTTACAATCCCATTAAAACTACTTTTTAAACATGCTTAATTTGTTCAAATGTTACTCCTCCACACAGTGCAGGTGGGAATAGGGGAAAATATTCTTGAGATATTTTAGAAAAACTAATTCTGACCTGCTCAGAGGGAGTGGGTGAGTAGCAAATCCAAATTTAAATAAGCATATATACAAGCTTACTCAGAGCTGTATCCAAATATAGTTCTTTGATTTCTTTTTGGTAGATTATTAATTGAAAACTTGCCACTATATTCCCATCTCTTAAATTTGAAACATCACAGCTGTAGATCATAAATTGAAGGTCTAGGGTTTGCCAACTTTGATTCAGAGTACTCACTAGATGCTAGAAGCATTAATAACAAAGCTAAAGCTGAAATATTTTGACAACACAAAGCAGAAGAAGCAAGCATCTTTAGAAATATTGGAAAAAATGGAAGGCAGTGGGGGAAAAAAACTGGCAAAATACAAGGTGTCTAGAAATATAGCACAAGATCAGACCCTTGGCCTGTGTAGTTCAGCAGTTTATCTCACAGTGGCTAACAAATTGCACAAAGAACACTACTAATCTCCCAGCAATGTCGCACTGCTATCAAGGTTAATAACCACAGATCCACATGGCTTTCATGAATCTGTCCAGATATTTTTTTGAATCCTGGTGGCCAGCTCCATGTCTCATGGTAGACTTTCAATTTATGATCTACATACATAAATACATACATACATACATACATACATACATACATACATACATACATACATGTGGCTCCAAGTGCCATAATGCTTTTTCATAGGAAAGCTACTCAAGCCTTTTCATCATTGTAGTTGTTCTTTTCTGAACTTTCTCATGTCCATTCAGAAATATTCAAGATATTCTTACAAGACTGATTTATATACAATAAGGGCAATATGATATTGGCATCTCTATAATTCTTTATAAACCCTAACATCCTCTTGGTCTTTTCTACAGTCTATACACTCTGCGTCAACACCTTCATTGAAATGTTTACCATTCTTCAAGATTTCTTACCTCATCAATCACTACTAAATATGACCCCATTAGTTTGAAGAGTAGTTAGGATTATTGGCCCTAACATGAATCATTATACAATTGTTAACCTCTGCCATTTGATGCCCACTTCCCTAATGTGCAGAGTCATTTATTGTTTATACCATTTATACAATTTAGTATCATCAGCAAACTTAGTCACACTCAATTCCACATCATTTATAATTATAATAAAAAGCACTGGTTCTAGAAAAGAACAATGGGAGACCTCACTGGTTACATTCCTCCATTGTGATAAATTTTAATTTATGCCTATTCTTTGTTTTTGTTCATTAGCTAGTTATTCACAGGAGGACCCGTCCTTTTATTCCATGATTGTTAACTGAGAAATCTTTGATGAGGGATTTTATCAAAGGTTTTTTTTAAAAAAAATTGGATCTATCTACTAGCTCACAGTTATTAACACATTTTATTTATCTATTTTTAAATGTATTTATTAAATTTCTACACTGCCTATCTAGGAGATAGGTGATTTACAAAAATATACATTAATATCATAAAAAAAAACCTCTAGCACTGTAGATTAATTAAATAGGACCTTTCCTTAGTGAAGCCATGTTGAATAACCTTGAAGAAGACCTGTGTTTCCAAATGTTTGGTAATTTTATCTTCAATAGAAATGTCTATTATCTTCCCCAGAACTAATGTTAAACTGACAAGGTTATAACTTTCTGAATAGCCCAATGAGCTACTCTTAAATATGGAGTTATACTGGCAACCATCCAATTCTCAATCCCAGAGGCTAAGTATAGAGAAAGATAACATATTTTAATTACAAGATCCACAATCTCAGCATAAAGCTCTTTATGAACTGTTAGGTGGTTGCTATTTGTTGATGTTCAGTATCAAAGATGTTCAATATCCGATATCAGAATCTTGAGTTTACCAAAGCTCAAAAGTTACTAATAAGTTCTGGGCAAGCAATAGATTTTCAGCAATGAGATCTTTTGACAAGCAGAAGATTATGAAAGTAAATCCAATTTAAATACCAATAAAGCTTGCCTTTAGTACCTTGAAAGCAAGGCAGTGATTCAAAACCATTCTGCATGTGAAGAAAAATGTTATTGTTAATATAATTGTTCTGCTATATTGTACATAACATGGCTCCATTACTAGAGTGATACTGAGACTTCCGGTTCTGCTCCACACCCCACGGCTGTTTTCGCTCTGCCAGGGGACCCTAAATGGGTCTGATGTTGCCCTGGAGAGGCGATGAAGAGGGGCACCCCGATGATCATGGATGACAGCGTTCAATCCAAGGGAAGCCCTCTAACCGGACAGGAGAAAGGCTAGCTGCACACCAGCGTCTAGGTCAGTGGTGGCAAACCTATGGCACGGGTGCCAGAGGCGGCACTCAGAGCCCTCTCTGTGGGCACGCGCACCGTCGCCCCAGTCCTAGGCCTTTAGCTGGGTTTTATAAAACCTTTTCGCTTTAGGCCTCCACCACCGTGTGCAAAAAAAAAAAAAAAAGGTTCAATCAGTCAATTTCAACTTCTCACGGGAAAAAAAAAGATCTTGCAAAGTTGGAATTGATTGAACTTTTTAGTCCCACCCAGTCTGCCGTTACCACCGTAGCCACACCCAGCCAATGGGCCACACTCAGCCGGCACTTGACGATGCATAAGTGGGTTTTGGGTTGCAGTTTGGGCACTCGGTCTCTAAAAGGTTCACCATCACTGGTCTAGGTGGATCGAATGCACTACAGGAGGTGCTCTGCCAATATCTTCAAGGGTATTGCCTTTTCTTGCAGTGGACTTGGACCCATCTTCCCATATTTTCCTTGGGAACCCATACATTTGCATCCTTTGAGTTGAGCTAGATTCCTTGTGACTTAACAGCCACTTCCATGTAGTTTACCTGGCAAAAATGCAAAAAAGGTTTGCCATTGCCTTTGAAATATTTTTTTCACCTTCTCAGTCTTGTCCATTGCTTCAAAATTTCTTTGTGATTCATTTAGTAGCTACATCTACGTGATTAGCTTTTTGAGATTAGCCAAGTTCCTAGTCTAGATACTGAGGAACTAATAGGGCACAGAGGTGAGAGGTGATAAACAATATGATGCAATGGCATTTCATCCCAAATACACGTAGCAGTGTTTTCCTGGAAGTTTTTTTTTTAACAAATAGAATACAAGTTCCCACATTTTGTATACCAACGTTTCTGTTAAAGAATATTAACATATTAACATATTAAATAACATTCAAAAACTCATTTGAATGTTACAGTGAATGTCTAGATTCAGTATAAATAGGCCAGTTCTTCTTGTGATTTATGGATGCCATTTGCAGATGCAAGGTCCAATCCGATCTATACAACTTATTTGAAAATAAATTCCACGGACTGAGTTTAGGGTGGACCTCAATCAAATTTGCCATTAATTTTCAGGAAAGCCTATTATCTTCAGCCTCGTCTCTTCTTTTCCTGAACTGGAGAAAGAGTACAGAGAAGAGCAACAAAGATGATTAGGGGACTGGAGGCTAAAACATATAAGGAACGGTTGCTGGAACTGAGTATGTCTAGTTTAACGAAGAGAAGGACGAGGGGGGGACATGATAGCAGTGTTCCAGTATCTCAGGGGCTGCCACAAAGAAGAGGGAGTCAAGCTATTCTCCAAGGCGCCTGAAGGCAGGACGAGAAGCAACAGATGGAAACTGATCAAGGAGAGAAGCAACTTAGAACTAAGGAGAATCTTCCTGACAGTCAGAACAATTAACCAATGGAACAACCTGCCTCCAGAAGCAGTGAATGCTCCAACACTGGAAGTTTTTAAGAAGAGACTGGACAGCCGTTTGTCTGAAATGGTGTAGGGTTCCTGCCTGAGCAGGGGGTTGGACTCAATGACCTCCAAGGTCCCTTCCAACTTTATTATTATTGTTATTATTATTATTATTATTATTATTATTATTATTATTATTATTATTATTATTATTATTATTATTATTATTATTATTATTATTATTATTATTATTATTATTATTTAAAACTAGTCTGCGGAACTAGTCTGAAGGGAATGTCTGGCGGGCGGGTGCAGTGCTTAAAAAAAGGAAAAGAAAATGACGCCTATAGGTCTGCCTCCGGTGATGACATTGGCGTCATTCTCGTCACCAGCAGAATTCACCCAAAGGGGGAGGCGCCATGGGCGGGGCGAGCCGTCTCTATTGCCGGGAAGGGAGGCGTTCGTGCGCGGCGGAGGTTCCATGGATCGCTTCGCCTGGGCTACTGGCCTCTTGGAGATCCACGAGAACCTCGTCACGCAGCAGCGCGGGGTCCGCTTGTACGATGGGGAGGAAAAGGTCAGGGCGGCTATAGTGGAAGCTGCGCCAGGAGGGAGGGAAGCCGGCTGCGGGGAGGGCGGAGGGGCCCCGGTCTCTCTTAAAGGAGGGGACTGTGGATTGAGGAGCCCATCGACGGGAGAAAGCCGCGGGTGGGCTGTTGGAGAGCCAGGGAGTCGCCTAACAGGAATCCACTTCAATCCCGGATTTCAGGCCCCAGCGAAATCATGCATATCTTTTTGCACGTCTGGTAGATCCGGTTCCTCGAATGTCCTTCTCCTTTTGTTTAATTGGCTTTGCCTTCTTTATGCATTACTCGAGGTGGCAATGATATTGAAATCGATTACTCCATGCCCTTTTGCACTAATGTCAGTAGTTCCGTTAATGCATATATTTATGCAACCTCCAAGGAAAGCTGTTAAGTGCCTAATCTGTTAGGAATTGGGGACATCTCTTTACCCTGCTGTGTTGCCTTAAATTTAAGTCATATGTGAAGTTGTTTCTTCAGTATTATAGTCCATCACTTAGGTGTTAAAACATCTAAAACAATTTACAAATGCAGTGAAAACACAATACAATTACAGTATTAAAATAGGGGGATGTAAACATCCCCAAAATCTTTCTTACAGGGCAGTTGCCACTCTCTCCTATTTGAATTGAATTGATTACCGTATTTGGTCAGGTGTAATTAGACACACGAGGAATTTGTCTCTGGTGCAGCAGCTCAGAGTGTACATGCAAAGCAATAGAATAATCATAATAATCATACCAATAAGATGGGGGAGTAAAGAAGATGAAGGATAGATAATATTGCAGCCATATTACATGAGTAAATATACATAGACCTTAGGCAACACTGAGAATTAGGAGTTCATCAGAGTGAAGGCACAAAAGAAGAAACTGTCCCTGTGTCTAGCAATGCCCTATAGTGCCTCCCGAGGGGAGGAGTTGAAACAGTTTATGTCCAGGATGTGAGGGGTCTGTAGATATTTTCTCAGCCCTCTTTCTGACCTATGCAATATACAGGCCCTCTATGGAAAGCAGGCTGGTTGCAATTGTTCTTTCTGGAGTCTAGTTAAGATTACTGTCTGTAATCTGTAGTGGAGTCTGTAATTGTAATTTCTCCTGTGTTTTCCATAGCTACCTTCACCATTTACCAGCAAAAAGGGGAAAAAAATCCAAACCCTTAAAGATAAAATGCTAGGTTGGGAAACTTTCAATACTCAGCTTACCTACCTCAGCTTTCGATGGCCAGAATTAATAGTTTTGAAACAAGAGACATACAAATTTGTTCCTGGATGATACGTGATATTAAAGCATTCTCATTTTAAAAGAAATATTCCCTCCTTCGGTTTGTCTTCTGTGAACCCAACTACCATACTTTGCAAATGATGGTCTGTGAACATAAAACTGTGGTTTATTAATAAATCATAATTAAACAGAACATTGCTTAGCACAATGTGTGAATCAATCCAGTAGTAGTATCTTCAAATCTGTTGCTTAATTTTTTCCTTACTGTCAAGGGTGACCATGTCTTAAAAAGGAAGTAAAAAATCTTGTTGCTTGTAGCAAATATTGCCCAGAGAACAAAGAAGGGTTTCAGACTTCTTTTCTGTACAGTACCTTGGTGATGGGCATCCTTAGAAGAATTTCATGTATTGTCAGATTAAGCTTTCACTGTAGCAATGTTTGGCTTACTTCATGGAATTTCATTGGGATACAGATGTCATGGACTTTCATTCTAGCCACTTATATTTTTCAAGTCTTTTTCAAGTTCCTAGAAGGAGGGAAAGTTGAACATTGAGTTTGAATGATCCTACTGGACCATTCAATTAAAGAACTCTACAGTTGGGATCATATATGATACATTAATAAGGCAGAGTGATTGGGTTCATGCTAACCAAAAAAAATAAAGGGATCATAAGATAGGCTAGTGTAATGTGTGAACTCTTATATTTTTGACTAAGGGAGTCCCTTAGATAGGTAGATAGAGCTAGGTAAGAAAATATCTTGAGGAAAACATACGTTATTTAAAATGGCCTAGGTTTGGTGACAAACAAATATTTATCTTGCATAAGTCTATACAGGCTCAGCCATCGTTTGTTGTTAGGTCTTTAGATCTTTACATCTTGAATTCTTGTGTGGCATTTTCTTTTGACTTTTTAAAAAATTCTTCACCTTGCACTTTATTCTTTTTCCTATGGAAATGGATGCATATCATTACATTAGAAGGAATGTAGTTTCTTCTTCCTTTCTGCAGCCTAATTTTGTAAATTTTATTAACCGAACACAATATGTTCACAAAATATTTGCCTAAGACAATATGATACGATTCTACAAAAATAGCAAAGGATATGAGTATCTTAAAAATCTACTCATTTTTTTTCTCTAGTTGAAGTTTGAAACTGGAGTATTGCTCCTTAGTACACACAGATTGATCTGGAGAGATCAGAAAAATCATGTAAGTAGATTCTGGCATATGTCATTTTCTTGTAATATTTGATAAAGTTTGATTGATAATTGTCTGGCCAAAATAAGTTCTTATGTTCAACTTCATATTTTTCAGTTTTGCTAAATTAAAAAAAAAACCTAGAATTTTTATGGCAAGCAGAGAAAGCTCAGAAATTAGTCAGTGTGATTTATTTGGACCGAAGTTCAATACGTTTTCAGAACAGCTGTGTGTTATCCTGTATGCAAGCGCTTCTCTGAGGGACTGGGACCAGAAAACCAAAAACATTTCTAGCAAAGAAAGATCAGCCTAGGGCCAGTCATTCCCCAGAAGACTAATAGTTCTAAGAGATTTACATCAGATTCTATTGGGAGATTCTGCTTCAGTTGCTTGGTAGGTACAGAAGCTATTGGGAGAAGAGTTAGATCTTGGTCCCTCCTAGCTCAAGGACTAAAGAACACAAAAGCCTCTAAAAGGCCGTATCTGCTTATCCCCAAGAAGATTGTATCGATGAAGATTGTAAGAGCAGCTATGGCTAAGGATTGCTAGCTCAGTAGTTCCATGTAACATTTGGAGAAGCCGTATTATTTTATAACTTCTGTGACGTAAGTCATTTATTTCTGTGAATTGGTTTCTGTTTATGGGATGAAGGGGAGTAATTCCTTTCTTACAGTTCCTATGCATTCTCACAGTTGGCTCTGGAGGGTCCCTTCTTAACCCATCACAGTAGATGTTGAAATATTGGAGGGACTTCAGGGGAAAAGATGGTAAGATAATAAGAGTCGGTGTGGTGATTGAACTGGTATTGGGAGACCATCCTCAGCTCCAGAAGCTCACTGAAGCTCCAAAAACTCACAGAATGTGTTTAAGCCAGTCAGTTTCTCTTATCACAAAGGGTTGATGCTGTGAGAAAACATGGGAAGAGGGAGCCCTCTGTATACCATCTTGAGCTCTTTGCACTCGTATTCATGTTGGAAGCGCCTAAGGCGCATCCAGGTTGAAAAGATTAGCCGGTGACATGACTGTTGCCTGGAGATGCCTGGTTGGGGGCTCCTTTCATGTCTCTGTTAATATGCCCACTGAAGTGGTACCTATCTACTTGTGATTATTCGCTTTCGAACTGCTAGAGGTGGGCAGGAGCTGGAGCGCATGATGGGAGCTCACCCCACGCAGCAGCAATCGGGTCTCGAATGTGGGCTTACTAATCATCAGCCCAGCATCCTAACCTCGTTAGCCACCGTGCTCCCCACCTTGAGCTTTTGAATGAAGAACTAACAAATTTATCTAACAAATAATATAAAAAATGTGCTGACTTAATAGAAATCTGTGTGAGTAACTTTGGATTCCATTCCCTATGTTTACCGGGAAACAAATCCTGTCACACTTTCTAACAAGTACCTGCATGCAGTTGTAAACTGAATTTGAGTACAAAAATATGCACATGCCTAATCATTTGTTTAGTTATTTGACCTGCTCAGCCTTATTATTGAGAATCCAATAAATATTTCAAAACTATATTAATAATAAATAAAATGCTTTAAACTTTACAACTTATATTCTGTCTAAGAACTTTCAGCCTAGGCTATTAAAATAGCTGTGTTCAAAAAGTCCTGTGATCAATTAGTAAGAGTTGTTTTTAAAAACAGCCTGTTGCTTTTTATTATCAAAGTTATCAAATAATAGTAACACTATCTTCCAAAGGAATCTGGTAAAGGAATCTCTGTTTGTTTTTTGAATGTCCAAAAAGGAACAGTTCACATACGTTGTTCATAGTATGGTTTAGGTGTCTGTCATGTACATGTTTCATTTTGAAAGTGGGCAACTAAATTTCATTTTTGATGTGTGCCGTTGTGCCCACAGTAAAAAAATGACAATAAAGGTTATCTTATCACAAAGATGATTCCCATTATTAGAAATTTGCTAACACCAACCAGGTTTAAGGATACTGTTATCTTTTAAAATTGTAGCTCCTTATATCTATCAAAGTGAGAATTACTACAAAATAGATTGGGCCTAATAAACCAGCATACACCAAGGATCATTCTGATATATGATTGGATTGTTTTCAGGATTTGTTCATGAGCTTGATTATTCTCTCCTACACTCTGGACCAGTCATCAAATGCTCCCCTATTATTTAAGCTTTTATCCTTCTTTCCAAGTTATTGGATAGTGATTACATTTATAAATATATGGCTTCCCATTGTCCTCTTCAACAAACAGAAAATTGGAAATCAGACTTCCAGTGTTTTTTCTTCTATGTATGCTGTTAAAGTACTGAAAAGTTTAATCACCAGGAAAACTGTGGAATTGGTGATTTTGTCATATCCCAGTTGTTTGCCATATAATTTTCAGTTCCATCTTATTCAGGACTACTCAGTTGAACGCCTAAAGAGTTTACTGAGTCTTATTCTGCATTGCAGCAGATAGTAGCCACAATAAGCTCACATTCTCATGTAATTTAATTATTGAAGGGCCCTCCAAATAGCAATTACAGATTACATATTTATTATATTAATTATTTCATTGTGCTTTTAAGATTACACTTTAATCCGTGAAGAACATTTCATGATGTCTGTAAGTAAAATATTTATGTCAGTATTGCTACTAAATAGCTGTCGCAAGATGATCAGTTGAAAAAAGGAGGAATCTGCTAGAGCAGTGGTGACGAACCTATGGCACCGGTGCCAGAGATGGCACTCAGAGCCCTCTCTGTGGGCACGCACGCCGTCGCCTCAGTCCTAGGCCTTCAGCTGGGTTTTATAAAACCTTTTTGCTTTAGGCCTCCGCCGCCATGTACAAAAAAAAAAAGGTTCAATCAATCAGTCAATTTCAACTTCTTGCGGGGAAAAAAAAGATCTTGCAAAGTTGGAATTGATTGATTGAACTTTTTAGTCCCACTCAGTCTGCCGTTACCACTGCAGCCACGCCCACCCAATGGGCCACACCTACCCAATGGGCCACACCCACCCAGCACCCAACGATGCATAAGTGGATTTTGGGTTGCAGTTTGGGCACTCAGTCTCTAAAAGGTTCGCCATCACTGTGCTAGCATATATTTTTCCCAATGTGTTGCTTTCTAGATCTGTTGAGGTCCACATTCCCCAATATCTCAGGAAACATAGAAGAAGATAGGCAGATAGAACTTGCAGATGGTCTTTGGTTGACAAATGGGTTCTTTTAAGCTTTCTTTAAAATTGTCAGGCAAAAATAATAGATTTTTGGTAGATAATAGATAAGTAGTAAAAATAATAGATTGGTATTAGTTTTATGCTAATGATTAATATTTTTTGCACAATACCATGCAACTTAATGTTTATTTGATGACAGACTCTGTTGTGGGAATAATGTTAACTATTTACAGTTTATTAGAAGAAATACTGTGTTCCACCAAATACATCTTTGTTTCTTATTGCAGGAATGCTGTATGGCTGTTCCTCTTTCCCAAATTATCTTCATTGAAGAGCAAGCAGCGGGGATAGGAAAAAGGTAAAATACCATCAAGAAAAATCTTTGAAGGGCACTGAAGATTTCATGGCCATTGCTGCATCTTCCTATGCCAGTAGCTATTCAGTCATTTTTCAGTCACTCAAGACAGGATATAAATTAAATATTTGCCTCCTATCAACTTTATAACTTTCCTGCAGGAACTTTATACTCCATGCAATCTGATAATTGGAAAAATTGATTTGTAGTTCTTGGCTTTCAGAGGTTCATTTGAATTTTATTTTGACCAAGAACTATGTATCTGTCCCCAATGTTCCAGGAAATATATCCAAAGTGTAGAATTTTTAATTTATGTTTAAAAATGGTTTAAAGGTTATGGAAACTTTCTATTTCCCCACATATTTTTTTTACTTGTTTTAAGTGAAAGGTAATCTGAATGAAAATGTAAAAAAAAATGCTTTTTGATTTTAGGAATTTATTCTTTAATAACAAAAAAATATATTTTCTCCTATTTTTTTTTTGTACCTTTAGTGCCAAAATAGTAGTACATCTTCATCCAGTAGGTTCCAATAAGGATCCTGGTCCATTCCAGACTAGTAAATACTCATATATCAAGCTTTCTTTCAAAGAACATGGTCAGATTGATGTAAGTATGTTTTCTAAATGACTGTTGTATAAAAATTACAGGAAGAATTTTTAGTGTGGCTAAAAAACTCATTTAAGGAGAGATAAGAGAATTTATTATATAGAATTCCAAGATTATTATTATGGTTCGTCGCATTGTAAGCCAGATGTTCAAACTGGATTTGACATTTTTATCCACCTTTCAAGTCTTTTCCAAGGATCTGGGATAGGCAGATGTTGATATTTGATGGTGTTAGAAGTATTGTCGCAGGATGTAAGCTGCTCCAGGTAAAGCTGCCTTTTGCAATTTAGTGATGGTGAATTATTATTATTATTATTATTATATGTTATTATACATTTTTTTGTGTTTTGAGTCAAAGTGGACTGAAGCACTTTTGAATTCTTTCAATGATGAGTGGTATGTTAAATTTCACATTATCCCCTAATTTAGGTATTATGGAAGCAGCTTTTATCTATTTGGAGCATATCTAAAATATTAAAATGTTAGTTTCAATGCATTTTTGCAATTGCTCACTTTTGGAAATTATTGCCACATAGTTCTTCAGGAGGCTTACGGAAGAAATGTCTCAGCGCAGATGGGAGAACATGCCAGCTTCTCAAGCCATAGATGTTGACAGGGCTTCACAGGTAAGTATCCAATTTGTAATGCTTGGATATCTCATTTCTAAGTAAGATTGATACTTAAAACATGATAGAGAAAACTTCAAGCAGGAAGATGCTGCCTGGGAGCGAAGTATGTGATGTGTTGTCAAGCAACTATATTGGATTAATACAATATAGTTGCAAGTGAACCTCTTTCAAAATAATATAAAAGATATAATTGGGTTTTTATTTCATAAAGAGGTACACATTGCATAGTTCAGTGATGGCGAACCTTTTAGAGACCGAGTGCCCCAAAACTGACCCTGCTCCCACTCCATCCCCTGCCGCGCCTGCCCGCAGGGCCACTCACCGCCTCCAGGGCCCGCCGCAGATTGCCCAGGCAGCCCAGCAGCGCTATGGTGGTCACGCCCTCTGCCCGTGCCCTGCAGCATCAACTGTGCACGATGGGGTGTGAGGGCAGAGTCTTGTCTATGCTGCCTGGCTGCCATGTCCTTGGCTGCGCTGCTCTGCGTGGGCCACGCTCAGGGGCGACTCTCCTTCAGGGGGGCTGCTGGAGAGGAGGGGGTCGCAGGGAGAGGCAAGGCTGGGGCAATGGCACGTGTGCCCACAGAGAGGGCTCCGAGTGCCACCTCTGGCACCTGTGCCTTAGGTTCGCCACCACTGGCATAGTTGATAAGTTTTGTTACTAGGTAAAAGGGAAAAATATAATAATTTAGAATGCCACAGTGTAATTTGGTAGGGTGAAAAAGATTTTAGGAATCTTTTGACACCATGTCTTTATTTGGATACTGAATTATGATTACAATGAAACTTGGTTTAGTAGACTTTGAATGCAACAGACAAATCTCCATTTGGGGCAATGTGCTGACTCTGTAAACCACTTAGAGAGGGCTGTAAAGCACTGTGAAGCGGTACATAAATCTAAGTGCAATTGCAATTGTATTTCTGTCATTTTACAAATTTGCGTAATGGATTAAGCTGATAACCATTTTAATTTAACAAACAATCAGGAATGATGGACATCCATTTTCCCCAATATTCTGTAAATCAAGGTTTACATGAACCTACATGAGCCTTAATCTCATCAGTTCTTCTCTCTTTCTCTAGCACAGCCACAAGGAAACAGGGAAATATTGCTTCGCTTTTTAACTACCTGGAATTTAGCTTTATCTCTGAACACAGCAATTTATGCTTTTTCTTAACAGTAATTTCCTGAACTTTAAAAAATATATATCAATAACCTACAATTGCAATTAATCCCTTTTGACATTAATTGAAAACTAAAGGGAAAACATCTAATTTGCACTGGATAATGAATGGGAAGTGATAGGTCTATGCCCTGTGCATATTTGCTGTGTTCATATATTGCTCCAAGAGCCAGAATGGTCTAGTGGTTAAGGCGTCAGGCTATAGAAAGCAGGAGATCATGAGTTCAAAAAGTCCCGCCTTAGCCATGAAAGCTAGCCTCTCTCTCATTCCAACTCACCTCAGAACGTGAAAAGTAATTGTATTGATTTAATTATTTATTGATTTACGTCTTGGCATTCCATGGTCCATTGCAAAGGATAACAAGGTCGGGGCTTCCCCACCACCCTTTTCTGGTTTTCAATAGCTCAGTAATTGGCATAGCTATTTTCGCGAAGGAGGGGATGAACTGCCGGTAAAAGTTAGTGAACCCTAAAAAACTTTGAAGCTGCTTATGGGTCTGTAGAGGCTGCCATTCTAGCACCGCCTTCACCTTGGCAGGGTCCATTTCCACTCCCTTGCTGGAGATTCGGTATCCCAGGTAGTCGAGGCCTGTCTGATGGAATTTGCATTTAGAAAACTTAGCATAGACTCCATAGAGTTTAGCATGTAGCAGCTTTTCGAACACTTCGCAAACTAATCACCATGTAGCAAACGTTGTTCGTTGATTTATTTTCTCTAATATTAATGATGTTGGGAGCATTTTCTTTTCCTATGTATAGTAGCTTTTTGCACCCTACCTCGTTCACGGATACAAGGCAAAGAAGGCAGAAAGACAGTAAAACAAACTAGGAAACTGTCAAAATTGCTTTCTTGCCTGTTGGCAAAATATTGTATGTTTTTTCCTCTCTTCTTCAAACCATAGTTTTTAGTTGGATACAAAAGGCAGTCACTGTTGTAATACTACTTCTAAATGCAGCTCTCAATGTTTGCTGGAGCTTTCCTTGCATTGCTCTCCCATTTATCGTATGTGTTATGCAGAGTGGAAGAATAAGAGCTGCAGGAATTGTTGGCATTGAAAGAAAATTGGAAGAAAGAAGAAAAGAGATGGATAAAAACATTTCTGAGGCAAGTAATTTTCCTTCAGAAACAGTATAACTAATAATTTATAGTTTAAGATATTAAGGGACCAAATTGCATTCATGTTTGGGGGGGGACCTTTTCCAATACTATATGTTTTGTCAAGGTTAGGAAAACCCAGGAATTATCACTATTTGGGGCAGGCAAAAAGAAGATGGAAATAGAGAAATCTATTGACCCTGAGGATTTCCTATCGACAAACTTTTTTTCTTTTCTTTTTTAATTCGTATCTTTTGTAACTTTATTCTCTTTTTTTTCTTCTGTGCTTTCGGTTATCTTATTTTTAGATGTTCAGTTTGAGGAGAATAAATCTTTTGTGGAAAAATGATGATCGCTGGGAAATGTTACTTTATTACTGGATATATTTTCTAGTCATGATTCAGGATTATGTAAATGTTTTGTTCAGTTTGGATCATGTTCTTTATTCAGGTAAAATGCAGATGTTCCCCTTAGGAGCAGGCCAAACTATTGTTGAACAACACATAAGCAAAAACCACAACTTGCCTCTTGCTCACACTCGCTCATTCAGGAACTGTTTGTTGTTGCTTTTCTTAAACCATAGCCTCTTCTTTTGTCTGAGCTGAGGATCTTGGTTCAGCACATACCCTGGTCATTTCTGATATAAGCCAACTTTTAATCATACGTTTTGACACTGACTTTTATATTGAACTACAAGTCTCTGATTCAGGTGATAAAATGAAATAAAAATACAATTGAAATTCATTTCTTGGCCATACAGAGATGAAGGCAAACCAAGGACTTACTGCAGCTGGTAACTGCTGAGTTGAATTAAGTTAAGCATCCCACAGCTCTAGTCATGTGCCTCTCCGGCTAATTTTCTACAAATCTTTACAAGAAACAATCATCTCCTCACTACTGTTCAGCCTGTGAACTACCAGGGCAAAAGAGGCTCTTTTAGCAGATTTACAAAAATATACCAGTATTGCATTTTTTTTTATATGACCAAGAGCCACATGTACCGGTAACTCTGCTCTCTTTTTTTCCCTCTGTTTATCGGAGGGTACAAGGAATGGATGTCAGTTGAGGGAAACCTCTGTGAAGTAATCCTAATTTCAGATCATTTAATTTTAAAACTGGGGCCCTGAATTTTAGAATAGATTTTCTGCATCTGCTAGCTATTGTTATTTTTTTTTTTTAAAAAAAGTGATTCCGTTAGTTATTTGTCTCAGGAAGTTCCTTTCAGGTGTGTATACATTCTTCTTTGTACTAAAGCCTGAATTAGTTGACAGTGGGATTATTTAAAACACGCTGTCTGTTGATCTAGATATTTTTTTCTTTTATTGTCGGGTAAGAAATTTGTTCACGTTGTTTGAGAGCAAGGCTAAATATGCAATTTTAATTAAAATGGTGAGCTTTGCAAATAAATATATAAAAAAACCTACGTAGTGTCATGCCCTATTAAATTCTTCCAGATTTTCCTCATGTCAATTTACTTTCAGCTTGTAAAATTATGTATAAATATATGTCAGATGAGAATATTCTGGTTTAGAGTAACAATTTACTTTCAAACCATGTTGAAAATGAGTTGCTCTAAGATCGGAGGCTTTTTAAAGCTAAGTCTCTAATGTGCTTTTCTAATCAGAAATACAATCCATTTAGGTTACAGAAGCACATATATAATTTATGTATTAAAAGTACTGATACTTGAACTCCCAAAATGGCAAGGGATTGTTTTTTAGTTTTTTGAATTTGGGAGGAAAGTTAATGATGAAGTTTCAGGTGTGATGCAATTGCATTTTATTCAATATGAAGAAATTATGTAGTACTAAATCAGTTTATTATTTCAGGCTTTTGAAGACCTCAGCAAGCTGATGGAAAAGGTAATACCTCCACTTCATCAGTAAGCATGCTGATTAACTGGGACTGGAGAAACTAATTTTATTCAACAGAATAAAATAGAGGAGGGTAGTTCTGTGACTCTGCTATATAGAAGTATATCTTGCATCATTATATATATATATATATACACATGCACATACTATAAATAAATATGCATTATTTGAATCATAGTTTAGTGGTTACTTGTGAAGTTATTACCATATAAATTAATTAAATAAAGTGAAATATTATTGACAATATGTCTAGATGCTAGATATCTGTCTATACAGCAAACAGCAATTGACTCCATCTCAGTAACACCTAATTGAATTGTAAAGAAAGGGAACTGTCAGCCAGGGACTGGCGGGGGCTGCCTGGAAGCCACCGGTGCAGTTCTAGATGTTCCCCTGTTCCCTGATACCCTGGCACCCCCAACTTAGTGCTGCTGGTTGAGATGAAGGAGATGAAGCCACAGTCTGAGCCATCCCCAGCGCTGCCCCCCCCCTCCTCGGGCTGGGGACTTCACCTGCTCCACTCCTTGCATCTCCATCCCACCAAACTTTTCACACAGCTGCTCCACCAAAGGGCTGTGGGAGGTGATTAGGGGCTTCCACTCTGCTGACTCTTCCTAGTCCACAGCCCTCTTGGTCTTGCATTTGCTCCCTCGGATTATCGCAACCCCCGGTGGGATTAAGGGGAACTCCATCTTGGTGACCTTCCCCACGCCGCTCGTCCATTGGACCGTTTGGCCAGTATAGAGGGACCCTGCCACAGCCCTTTCCTCTTGTACCTGCGGCTGCTCCGTCTTCTCCACTCTCACTTTGGACCGTGTTACCACCGGTTTCATTCTGAAATCCAGCTAGGCTGACCCCAGTGCTTCCCGAGGAGGGACCAGCCCAGGCTTGGCTGTGAACTTCTCGACTCCTGATATCATTAGGTTACAATCCTCTCGGAAGCCTCCAAGTAGACTGCACTCATAACTTTGAGAGAGCTAGTTTAATGTCAACCGTCCAACTAGGGAACTCAAAATTAAGGAATCTTCAAGGCTTTGAAGTGCCATAAAAGATAAACTTTATTGAATACACATCTTGGAACAGAAGAAACAAAACCAGCTCCGGTTTTCCCATGCGAAAATCTGCCTAATTTAAACAATAGCTTCCCATAACCCCCACCCACCAAGTGTTCATGTTGCCCAATCATATGTCTTTGGTTTGTTATGAGAACGGTCCACTTCTCCGTCAGACACTTGTGTTAGTGGCCTTGGTTCTCACGGTCCGTGGACGGCTTCTTAGACTACTGTTTACTTCTAATGCTTCCTACCCCTTATCCCTGTTTCTATGGCAAGTTGAGTAGCAATAGAAGTTAGCAATTCAACCTTGACATTTAGTCCAAGAGCTCTGTTTCTTAACTTTGACCTGCTGAACAGTTCAGCACTCAAACCTGTTCCATGAAGAGTGATCTCACAATAATGGAACAAGATTGTGTTCCATCATTATTTTGTGTTTTATTTTGTGTCTTACAGGCAAAGGAAATGGTGGAGCTGTCAAAATCAATTGCTAGCAAGATCAGAGAAAAGCAGGGTGACATCACTGAAGATGAGGTCAGCTAATATTCTGCTAAAATACAATTCCCATATCATTCTAAGTTGTAATACAGCTCATTTGTTTTTGATAAACTAGGTCTTGATTTGTTCAGTAAATATTGGTAAACAAGTTTTAACTAGGTAAACAAGATTAATGTTGTGTGCCATGTGGTGCACAATACTACACTGGTTGCATGATATTACAAGAGGGGGCTTACCAAAATTCCATTTCATTGTATTTCTATACTATATCTTACCCTTAAGGTGAAAACAATTTCCTTTCCTCCATCCCAACCTTAATAAACATAACAAAACTGACACTCCTGTATCATTACGGGAAGCTTCTCAAAAAAGAATATTCTCATGGAAAGCCTACTGAGCCACTGTGTGCATCAACAAGCTTCCTCAAATATAAATCTGCTTCAGAAAGTAAGCAAGTGATGGGATCCTGCTATACTTTTATCCCTAGGCGGCTGCTTCTACTGTACTTTCTCCCAATAGCCTGTCTTCACCCCTCCCCTGAAAATAATTCCTGTTTTCAAAACGTGCCAGGTATTCATCATGATCATGTCAGGCTATGGAACAGTTTCTTTCAGTTTCCTTCCTTCCTTCCTTCCTTCCTTCCTTCCTTCCTTCCTTCCTTCCTTCCTTCCTTCCTTCCTTCCTTCCTTCCTTCCTTCCTTCCTTCCTTCCTTCCTTCCTTCCTTCCTTCTCCTTTAGTATATTGGAATCTTCCAAATTCAGATAAATCTATTTTAATTAATTACTGTTTGGCAAAGAATCTGATATTCTGTGTTATTTTTTAAATTTGTCATTTTTTTTAGACAATAAGATTCAAATCCTATTTGTTGAGCATGGGCATTGCCAATCCAGTTACTCGGGAAACTCATGGATCCGGCACTCATTACCATATGCAACTGGCAAAACAATTAGCTGGAATTTTACAGGCACCTTTAGAGGTAAAGTACTTAACTGTCCTTTATTTTTTTTAATGTGCAGCCTTATATACCAGCACACTGTGACTAGCCGAACATAAAAAGCCAAAAAAAGTCAAATGTGGATCAGAGAATATTAGGAAATCCTGAGGTTATAGTCTAGATACAGAATTTGTAAAAGAAAATCTTGGAAAATCACTTCTGAACTGTTGTCAAAAAAATTACAGGACATACCTACTATGTTAACATATTTGATTCTAAGAGAATCTTTATTTTATATACCTTCCATAAATCTTCCCAAATCTACAGATCTCAATTCCTCCACTATAATTCTTTGTTTTCCTTTGTATTTGGCGGAAAAGATTTTCTTCTTTCTCGTAATAGAGAGAAAACTTAATAACTCGCCTAATAAAGTAAATACACTGCTTTATGAAATCAGAACTGTTTATAAATAAATCCATTAAAATACACATAGTCCTCATTTAGCCAGCACAATTGAGATTGATAACGTGGTCACTAAGTGACATGGTCATTGAGTGGAACACCACTTAACTGCAACTGTGCTTCCAATTTTCCTTCAGCTTTCCTTTTTCCCCACTCCTGTGTCCTTTGGGATGCTCATCCCAGTGCTGGAATAATTAACAAGAAGAGAATTGATGTTTGTAATATTACATTCATTTGAGGAAAAGGGATTACAAGACAGTAAGCAGGGACACAATGGGAAAGGAATATGCTAGTACCGGCTATTTGCCTGGTGGCACTCCTGGCTCCCAGTCCTGAGCCATTTAGGAAGCAAGCAAAAACCAAGGTGGGAAAATATTTAAAATCTTTTCAGTTTCAAGCGGCATCTGCAAGCCAACTAATTAAGACCACAGAGCTGAGCTGCTTAACTTGGGATGAGCACTTTTGAGGGAAGCACTCTATAGATAAAAGCTTTGCACTGAAAAACAGATCCAAAAGAGATTTCTTATTTAGGCAATCTCTCCATTCTATGAGGGGGGGAGAGAGAAAAAAAACCAGGCCAGGTACAGGACAACAAGTGCTGACTTACTGTAAAGACAAACAAATCACTAGGAACGACACTTTAAATATTGTAAATGCAGACATGGGGCACAAAGTTACGTCGTCATCACCGTCATAACTTCAATCACTGCCCAAGGCATTCACAAAGCAAGGTCTACTTTACAGCAAAAAAAACACAGTAAAATCACTCATACAATAAATAACACAAAGAATAGAATAAAATAAATGTAAAACCAGGCATGTAGAAGCTGAAACTCAGTAAAATACATGAAAAATAAAATGTTTGATAGCTTGGATGTTGTTTAAAGAGAAGACCAAAACTATCCAAGAGGGATTCCCTCAACTTAAACATTATACAGAACATTGAATTGGATTGTACTGAACTGAACTTTATTTGGCAAAGTGTGATTCGATACATAAAGAATTTGTCTCCAGTACAGAAGCGCAAATTAAAATCTATTGTAGCATAAATATTACATTTGGATGCCATAGAATAAAGAAAACATTCTGAAATGTTATCCACATCCATGCATGCCAAGAGAAGAGATATTTGAATGTATGGCAAATAAAGTAATACAAATTTTGTGAAAATTCAATTCAGAGGCATTTCAGAGCAAATAAAGATCATGTTTCTATTTTCCCCCTTTACATCTATGTATTACTAAAACTCTTGATTCCTATAATCTTTAACTGGGTGAAATGGTGTACCATAGGGCAAAATGTTTTCAGCCAAGTTACCTCAGATGAGCTAACTTGCAGAATGCAAGATCCAAAATCCAGGGTCTATGACTCCCATGATATTGAAATTTGGCAATTTTAATAAACATTTTATGACATAAAAATTACCATAAAACAGTGTATGGCGTAATTTAAAATGTCATAAAACATTTCCTGTGCTGATGGTGGACTGTGCTATACAGTTCAATGTAGGTTACTTTCACGGCAGATACATCTGAATGTATCCCATCTTTTCCAGCAAAGGAAATACATTAGAAACTCACTCATTCCTGAAAGCATTGAGAAATTTGATAAGGAAATACCTCCAGAAGTATTTTGTTAAAAGCGAAGTCTTAGAAAAAGGATTCTTATCACTATCAGTCTTTCATATCTCTACTGGTGATAGAAAGAGACTGCTGATTTGAGATATATTTTTGGCAATGTTAAGTACCACTGGCAAAGAAATGACTGGAAAGACTTGACACATTTATGGCTGTGTGTTGAATGTTCTGGTACCACTGTCCTGTACTTGTTGGTTTTGGCACCAGGTATGTTGCTGCTGTGAAGCTACATCTGTTTGGGCTATAACTTCAGCACCATTTTTAATTTTCCAGTCCTCTCTCTGTAAATACTGATATTGTCAGATTGCCAAATTTTGCTTTGGGATGGCAGACTTTGTGTTTTAAGAGCTGTTCTTAAATCAACAGGAACGGGGAGGAATAATGTCCCTCACAGAGGTTTATTGCCTGGTGAATCGCGCTCGTGGCCTAGAGGTGAGGAATGCGTTATCTTCTGCACCTTGACAAAATTATTTGAGCTTCACTAAATATGTCCAGGAACCTTTCTGGAGTAATTGCTGATGACAAATACTGGAACTTAACCATAATTTTTTGCTATTGGTCAACAACATATAGATTGTCCTAGCACAAGAAGCCATCTAGCAATGCATTGAAAATCAGTAGAATGAGAATAAGTGTGTAGATTGCAATTTTTAAGGCTACAACTCTGTTCAAATTTACACAAAATGAAATTCCATTGAACTCACTAAGATTATTTTTGGGAAACGGGTAAACATATATACCATTGTAAAGTATAAGTATCCTGTGGTTTTAAAAAAGCACAGTTTTGTAATGTGAAGCCAGAAAAAGGGGTGTCTGCAGATTGTTAACATGTGTGTCTGTGTGTACATACGTACATAAATTGCTTTGATAACATGGGACTAATGATAGAGTAAAATAGCTAAAGGTTGTGCACAAGTTTGGTTAGAAGATGTAAAAATTTCACAGAAATTTAGTTGAAACTAGAATATCTGCAAGGCTGTCTCTACAAATCAGCTAGCAGAAGACCCAGGGGACGTTCCATTGCCACCATCTTGCTATGGAATTGCCAAATGCGCAGGAGGAGAGATGGATTTCAGCTATTGTGAATTTTGAGGTTGGCACATTTGAAACAAAGCAGCAGAGGGTAGCAAATTCTGCTCTCCACTGTTCTTTTCAGAGCAGTGTTTCTCAACCTTAACAATTTTAAGGCATGTGGACTTCGACTCCCAGAATTCCACAGCCAGCAATGCTGGCTGTGGAATTCTGGGAGTTGAAGTCCACATGCCTTAAAATTGTCAAGGTTGAGAAACACTGTTTCAGAGGCTCAGTGACATGGTGGCAAGGTAGGCCAGGCTTCCCCAATCTGGTGCTGATCAGCTGCATCAGTTTTTTAATGCCTATTATCACCAGCTAGCTGATAGTAAAAACTGGAGAATGACAGTGAAACATTCCAAAAAGACAAATATGCATGTTTTCAGCAAGTATGAATCATCTTAATGTATGCTAATCCCCATTCTTTAAGTGTTGCACGTTCATGTTTTTTTTAAAAGAAAGAATGGGGTTTGTAATATATGTTAACATCATTCAATTGTAAACACTTGTCATTTAATTGCTCTTTAAATCTCATAAGGGAATGCAGAAGCCTTGTAGAGATATCCTAAATGTAGAAGAGTGCTTATTATAAGATTAAGCTTATGTATGTTTTTCTCATTAGTTGCTTTCTCCTGAAGATCTAGTAAACGCTTGTAAGATGTTGGAATCACTAAAGTTACCTCTAAGGTAAGAAGCCTTCAAATTGTAATGGGACGCAGGGGAAACCTCTCAAAAGAGTGGGATGAGGCTCAGTCCCCTTCCCTTCCTTGTATTTAGCAATAGCAATAGCCCTTAGACCAGTGGTTCTCAACCTTTTTAATGCCGCGACCCCCAACCTGTTGTAAGTCGAGGACTAAACCGGTCGTAAGTCGAGGACTACCCAACCGGTCGTAAGTCGAGGACTTTCCCTGCCCGGGAGCGCCGCGCATGCGTGGTTCCGCCCCCTGCGCCGGCCGAGGCGTAGCTGGCAAGCGGCAGAGACGGAGCAGGCCGACCACCAGCTGGCCCAGCTCAAGGGAGGTAAGGCACCCGCCGGAAAAGGGGAAAAAATGGCGGACAGCCTTGCTTGGCGACCCCCGTGAAATGGTCGATTGACCCCAAATGGGGTTGCGACCCATAGGTTGAGAACCGCTGCCTTAGACTTATATGTATACCGCTTCACAGTGCTTTACATCCTTCTCTAGGTGGTTACAAAGTCAGCGTGTTGCCCCCAACAATCTGGGTCCTCATTTTACCAATCTAGGAAGGATGGAAGGCTGAATCAACCTTGAGCCCCATCAAGATCGAACTGCTGGCAGTGGGCAGAATTAGCCTGCCGTACTGCATTCTAACCACTGTACCCCTACAGCTCTATTTACTTGTTTGTTAGATTTACATCCTGCCCTTTGTTCAGGATCTCCAGAGGTGCACATAGAACCTCTATTTGATGTGTTTTTCAGATCCTTATAAAAGCTATGTGGGGAAAAAATGAGATTCAGAATTAGGGAGTGGCAAAAAACAAAAATCAAATCTATGAGTGGAGTTTTCTCATCATACAAAATGCCCACATTTTAAGGTACAATATCATTCTCATAAAGCTGGCCATGCTGCTTCCTCATGCAGTTATGGAATGTAGAAATCATACTGGACTAAACTTTTCAGTTCTTCATCCGCCCGGTAATGTCTTTCACAGTACTCTGACCTATGCAATTAAGTTATACCAAGTTGTTATCACTTTGTTCCCCTGTGTGGAAAAAGCTTTGCTAATAGAAATTTGTTTGTCGGGCTATTAAAGAGGATTAAAAAAAAGTTGACAACTATGTTCCAGACTAATAGAATGGAAATACTACAGAGAGATTTGATTTGATTTCTTTGCCAAACACACAGCTATTTGTCTTACCAAATGGAAATTTTACATATATATATATAAAACCTCCCAAATAGAACTGTAGTCCTCCACTTTAAGAGGACTAATATTTGATAGACCAATAATTATATGGGAGATCGGTTTAAAATGAATAGTTTTGAAGGTTTTATTTTTTTTAAAAAATGGAGAACTTAGCAATTAACAGTATAAATGCACGAGGAAAGAGTTATGCGATATTTGGATTGAGATAAAAGCTTACACATAGGGAGGTTGTAAATCAAGCAGAGTTTGCAAGTCATGTAATTGCTATGGATGCACAGTGTGGAAAAGAAATTGGAAAGGTGGATAAATAAAGAACAACATTTCAGGAACCGGAAAAAGGAAGTGTGGAATTGCAGAGAAGGACCTAGTAGATGAGGAGGGGCTCTGAGAAAAAACCCTCTCTGTTCTTCAGATCAAAGCAGGCTGCATACAATGAGGAAGGAGGAGTAGTATGGGGAAGGCTAATTAAAATGGCTAAAGAAAGCAAGACATAATAGCCCATGGTAGGAAAACAGGAACTTGAGGAAACCATGGGTGATGGAGATACGAGAAAAAGGCAGAGCAACGAAAAAAATCTAGTTAGGGGCACTGCCCATATGCAAGAAAGGAGTTCAGCAGGCATTAGTATATGGGCGGCAACTAACTTTAAGCTGTGTTCTTACAAGATCAGTTACAAACTTAGGCACTGCCTTTATGCAATGTGCTAAACTTGATTAATTTTTTCAGTGTATGAATGTGAAATCAGCTTACAGTTGTATTTAAACCAAGAAGACCAGTTAATTCAGTATTCGGGTTGAACCTGTTGTGAAGCCACGGAACTGCTAGAATTTCTGCCTTTAGATCAGGGCTTTTCAACCAGTGGTACGGGTACCACCTGTGGTACATTGGCATCTGGCAGGTGGTATGTGACCATCCTAGAAAAGTGGTAGCGGGGGAGGGGAATGAGCTGAACCGGTGGCAGCACCACACAAGCCTGAGTGAGAGATGGCTGGAGCTGCCGGCGCTATCGGCTCCAGCTGGAGCTCGGCGCTAATCCTGGTGCTTCTGCTGAGCCCTGAAAAAGCACCAATCAGCTGGAATGTTGCAGCATCTCCAGGGTCTTGTGATTTACATTCAGATGCTTGACAACTGATTCATATTTATGACGGTCACAGGGTCCCAGGGTCATGTGAAGTGACCAAAACCTGCTGCAACCACCCAGCAGATGGGGGGAATAAAAACCAAACACACCCCACCCTCGCTGCCAATCCTCAACAGAAATGCTCACAACAATGAAAACCTCGGACAGGAGGAAGAGCACCGCCAGGTGGGCAGGCAGGTGTCTTGCTCGGCTGTGTCTTGGGGGGCACTTTTTTCAGTGCCATTGTAACTTTGAACAGTCAGTAAGTGAACTGTTGTAAGTCGAGGACTACCTGTACTTTATCACTTTTTTCCTTTTTTTTTTTTTTTTGGTCATCAAGTTTTTGACACCTTGCTAGGCGACTGGTAGTACTCGGATGTTGTCATATCCTAAAAGTGGTACAATGGGTGAAAAGGTTGAAAAGCCCTGCTCTAGATCCTCATATGGACGTATTCTATTTCATTGTGTCCTTCTAAGCGCAAAGGGGACGAAGAGGATACCAAAGCAGAGTATTATAGCCAAGGTGGCATAGTGGTTATAGAATGCAGTATTGCAGGCTAACTTTGCTCACTACAAGGAGTTTGATCCTGACAAGGCTGAAGGTTGACTAAGTCTTCCAGTCTTCCGAGGTTGGTAAAATGAGGATCCAGATTGTTGGGGGGCAATAAGCTGACTGTAAACCGCTTAGAGAGGGCTGTAAAGCTCTATGAAGTGATATATAAGTCTAAAGCTACTGCTAGTGCTATTAGCATTGGACATCATATTTGTAGTAGTCCAACTCTTCGGTGACATAATAGAGTTGAGATTTGTGTTTTTCTTTCTTTTGGGGATTTAGGTTACGCATATTCGACAGTGGTGTTATGGTGATTGAACTCCTATCACATAATGAAGAAGAAATGGTGGCTTCTGCTTTAGAGACAGTATGTATTTTAAGGGAACAGTCATATTGTTATTGCCTAACCTTGCGTCTAGATGGGCTTCTTCCTTTTCTTATTATTTTTTGTTAAGCACACATCCGTAGAAAGCCCTGCATTTGCCTGCCAGGCAAAAAGGCATCTATCTGATTTGGGCTCAGCATATTTAACTTGAATGTTGACAGATTCCCCTCTATCTGCATACATTATTTCCTATCTTTATTGAAACAGGTTTCTTGTACTGCAAATACAGACAATTTCTGCAATATTTTAACTCTTTTCCATCCAAACTATCGTGGAAACACTTGTTTGGAAAACTTCTGAATTCATTTTAAACCCCGTTTTTAAACATTAGACGTGTTTTTGTTTTTGCTTTACTTTTTAAAATAATAAATGAATTTGTTAAATTAAATTGCAAAGCAGGAAAGGCCTGGTAATTGACCCAAAGGTTGGGGGCACTAGCTTAGCTTCAAAAGGTTTCCTGTTTCTGGGACTGGGAATAAGCTTTATGTGAAAAGAAGGGATGGTCATTTCACATGTAGTGAAGATAAGCTAGATATTTATCAAAGTTGTTACTCATTTGTTACCCTTTCTTCTGCCAAGAACTCGATTGTATATGGGTCCATAGGATCTCTCTCTGATAAACAGTACTGTTTTGTGCCATAAATTCTATTTCTTTTGGGTGCTCATGTTGCATTGTATCACATACATGTAGTCTTCGACTTACGACCACAATTGAGCCCAATGTTTCTGTTGCTAAGTGAGACATTTGGTGAGTTTGGCCGCATTTTATGACTTCTTGCCAGGGGGTCGAGCAGGGGGTTGGACTAGATGACCTCCAAAGTCCCTTCCAATATTATTATTATTATTATTATTATTATTATTATGGATTATCGCACAGTCAGCCACATGTTCAGACTGGATTTGGCATTTTGTCTGTCTATCGAGTCCTTACCAAGGACCTGGGATAGGCAGATGTGGATGTTTGATGGTATTACAGATATCGTCGCAGGATGGAAGCAGTTCCTAGTAAGGCTGCCTTTTGCAATTGACTAATGGTGAATTTGTCAATGCCAATGGTGTTCAAGTGGTGCTCCAGTTGTTTTGGGATTGCACCCAAGGCAACTGGAGCACCACTTGAACACCATTGGCATTGACAAATTATTATTATGATTATGATTATGATTAGTTAAGTGAATCACTGCAGTTAAGTTAGTAACACAGTTGTTAAGTGAATCTGGCTTCCCCATTGACTTTGCTTATCAGAAGGTCACAAAAAGTGATCCCATGACCTCAGGAGATTGCAGTCGTCATAAATATGAGTCAGTCGCCAAGCATCTGAATTTTGATCACGTGACCATGGGAATACTGCAATGGTCGGAAGTGTGAAAAACTGTCATAAGTCACTTTTTTTCAGTGCTGTTGTAACTTCAAACATTCACTAAATGAACTGTTGTAAGTCGAGGGCTACCTGTATAGCAGTGATGGCGAACCTTTTAGAGACCGAGTGCCCAAACTGCAACCCAAAACCCACTTATGCATCCTCGAGTGCTGGGTGGGTGTGGCCAATTGAGTGGGCGTGGCCCATTGGGTGGGCATGGCTGTGGTGGTAACGGCAGACTGGGTGGGACTAAAAAGTTCAATCAATCAATTCCAACTTTGCAAGATCTTTTTTTTCCCCTGCAAGAAGTTAAAATTGACTGATTGAACCCTTTTTTTTTTTTTTGCACATGGTGGCGGAGGCCTAAAGCGAAACGGTTTTATAAAACCCAGCTAAAGGCCTAGGACTGGGGCGACGGCGCATGTGCCCATAGAGAGGGCTCTGAGTGCCGCCTCTGGCACCCGTGCCATAGCTTCGCCACCACTGCTGTATAGAAAAGAGGCAGTGCTTGCATCAGAACATTGTAAAGCCGATCTCTTCAGTTTGAGCCCTTTCCCTCCCCTTAGATACTGCTGATAAGGGATTATCACATTGATTCACTTAAAGAAGAGGACAACAGAGAATTGTTTTTTCAAAATTCTGAGGATTTGTCGAGGCCAGACAAGGATTGTGTTCTCATATAAATCTCACAGACAACTTATATATGGGGAAAGCCCAACAAATAAGCTTAAAAAAATGTTCCATGTTTTCTTAACCCACAACATGCTCCTCCTAATGTCATTTCATAGATTTATGGCCTGAGTTCCCTAGAACAGGCCAGTTTGCATGTCACTTTAAGTTATTCAGAGTCGAATCCACCTGAGAGAAGATGAATGGCTGATATTAGCTTGATTAAGCAACTTTAGCATGAGGTGTGGTAAGCAATATTCTGACTTTGCCCAGAGGAAGCTAGTGAATAATAAATTTATTAACCTGTTATTAAAAATTATCAGATTATGATGTTTTCATTGGGGGGGAGGCTAGATGGAACTAGAGTCCTGTGTTTGCATAATCATGCTAAGTTTTGCTAAGCAAGCCATTGATGACTTGTGAACCTTAATCATCCAGAGATGATATCCTTATGTCTCTTGATGGGAATGTTTACAAAGCCAGCTTCAGTATTATTCATAATTGCAATTACATACTCATGTGCAAGAGTCATTCTTGTCTTTGTAAACATGTACTAGTATCACTGTTGCCAACAGAAGCATGCACTCATATTCAGAAGGACCACTGGATTATGGGAGTTCTCTTTGCCTCACTCTCTCCTCATTTTATCAACCACTCCTAGGGCCTGGATTAGGTCAAGACTAGCTTTTCGGTTGATTTCCTACCAGTCATCTAAGGCAGGGGTCCCCAATCCACAGCCCACTACTGGGCCTTGAGCCTTTCGGAACCGGGCCGGAGATGTGGTGGGCTACCATGCGTGCATCCTCACTTGCGGAAGCAGTGGGCAATGACGCACACATGCACTCCATCTGAGTGAGTGGCAGGTGGCTTTCCCGTTGCTCGTGCAAATGGAGCTGCGCACGTGTGCATTGCTTGCTTGCTGTTTGTGCAAATGGAGCTGGGCACACATGCTTGCCTGCCGCACACGAGGGACCATCCCTTCTCTCCCCCCCCCCCAGCCGGTCCGCAAAACCGAAAAGATTGAGGAACTCTGATCTAAAGATTAAGGGTGCCGTCATAACAAGACAGTGTCTTTTATCTCTAAAAGCAGTGGTGCTTATTCCTAATGGTTACAGTACTTCTTGGTTTATTTTGGGGGAATGTGAATGAAAACTCAAGCCCTTTATTTCCATCTTGATGTAAAGTTCGCATGGAAAAAAATGCGTGGAAGTTTAACAATTGCTCAGAATGGTAAAGTTGTTGAATCAAAGATACTAGAAAAATAGATACTCACTATATAATAGGCATATGAAAAAAACTGGTAAGATGGCAGAAAAGCATTGCAAAATACAGAATATTTACTCCGCTTTGAACCTTTTCTTCCCTCTTAGGTTTCTGAGAAGGGATCTCTTACCGCTGAAGAGTTTGCAAAGCTTGTAGGAATGTCTGTGCTTTTAGCCAAAGAAAGGTAAAACCCCTCCACGTATTCTGATCTTAACAACAGAAGAAATTATAATTGGTTAATTAAAAATATTTTATTCTTTTTGTAGGTTGCTGTTAGCTGAAAAGATGGGCCAGCTTTGCAGAGATGATTCTGTAGAAGGCTTGCGATTCTATCCAAATTTATTTCTTACACAAAGCTGATTATTCATTTTCTCTCTTTTTCCTCTTATTTAAATATGTTTGCTAGATGCAGTCTGAAGAAAAAAATGTCAAGAGATATATCCATTTATATCATGCCTTTGCTAAGTTGTAATGATGCACCAGTAATGCACCAGGCAGGGAAGAAAGGATTAGTTACGTATAGAAAGAGAATAACATTCCTAAAAGCTTATAGAAATCATGAAACTGCTGTTATTTCAGATCTTGAGAGCAAATTGGCCATGATGGCCCATTTAATGACTTTTTTTCAAGAAGAAGGGAAAAAAGTGAAGTGATTTAAAAAAGCATGGAGGAGAGGTTAACTATGGGCTATTTGCAAGCCTAGACAAATCAACAAGCAGTCTGTTTGTTAAATGTAGTCTCCCTCTTCCATTTTTTGCCATGGATTGGCATTTGCAACTTGAAATCAATAAAATATTAACAGGAGGAAAATAATATTTCTAGAGCAGTCTAATGCAAAATAATATTAAAAATGTAATTTATTTTAGAAATGTCTATATTTTAGGAATAAAACTTTCTTGTCTACATTTGCTTGTAATTATTTTCAAAGGAAGAATGGATCAAAAAAAATGTTTTGTGTATGGCCATGCTGGATGTTAAGACAAGGAGCGCTGTGAACTCAATTTCCTTCCTTCCATTCTTTGATTGTTGATTCTACAAAGTTTCTATTTTTGTCTTTTCTTTGGCATAACTGTGAAGGACATTTGCTATGTGTCCTTCTAAGCCACACAGTGTTTTATGATTCATCTTTATATTAAAAAATAAAGATGAAACATTTGCTCATTCTTTTGTCTTTGAAAAATTTGCTGGTACTGTATCAGTTTAAATGAAACAAAAAGAGAAGTCTTTGGTTTCACAAATGATCTATTCTTTTTAAGAAGATTATAGCCTGTTAAATACTAATAATCTCATTGCCCCTTTATTCTAATAAGATCTGTTTCCCCACAGATCCGCAGTTCACACTTGGATAGCCAATAGGGTTTTAGCATCAGGAGCGTCTAAAACATACATGAATGCCAAAACAAGGTATTAAAGCTGTCATGTAGCTATTGTATTCATAGAAATCATTTGAATGTTTATTCTGATAAAAAATAAAATAGTTTAATTTTAAACGCATAAACTACAAATACAAGGATTGTACTTCTTTACATTTCTGACTCTATGATTGTATTTTCAGCTGAATTCACTGACATTTTAAAGCCTAGAGAATAAGTCATTTTGCCAGTGCAATCTTTTTAAAAGTTGCTGTCATCTCCCATTTTGATTGTTTGATGCAATTATATTTTTGTTGTGCAATATGACAGCTAATTTTATACTTCTATTTTTTGCTACTTTCAGATATTAAAGTGTATGTGAGGTCATCCTGCTAGAAAGAAATTCATAGTATTTTTCTGTGACTATAGTTGGCAGCAGTTCCTGTGGATTTCAGTAAATCTGTTTAAAGCAACCAGTGTTATAAGTAGAATGCCTGTGAGAGACAGTCTTCTGAATAAAATTTAGCTGGGTGGGCTCATTTGGCGAGTGGTTGCCCATAACTGGGAAAAATACGTTTGTTAATTGTTTATGTCTTAATTCGCCAAAAGAATCAGTGCCTTTGTACTTGATATTTTTCTTTTCAAGAAAATATGTAGACCACCCTCCCTTTCCTTGTGTGATTCCTAGATTACTTTGAGGGAAGAGTACTGATTATCTTGTTGTTGAGACTGCATTTTTTGTGATTTTTTTTTGTACACTCTGTTAAATCGGTTAAGAAATAGCATTTGTATCTTGTTCTGATCATTCCAAAACTAGAAATGTACCTTTTTAAATTTCTCAATAAAAGCGCAGTGAAAAGTAAACCCACTTCCCACTAATAAAGTAAATATAGTAGGAAGAAGATGACATATGTGACCTTCTTCCTTGCTGCTGGGAATATCATTGCCTATATATTGTCTCTGGCTGCTGACTTCAAGGCTGCCATGGATTGGAATTTGCTGAGCTCCTTAGCCAGTGCAACTTTGTCATCTCATTCCGGGCGGCAAGGGAAATGAAAACTCCACTGCAAACACCCTTGATGCATGGCTAATCGAGCAGAATTATTTAGCCTTGTTTAACTGAACCCACAAAGTTCAGTTCATAAAACAGATATGGGGAGAATAAAAGAACAAAAGTTTTCTTCTTCCCCTCCTCCCCCCTTGCAATAATTTTGCTGGTGTGTCCATATGTATGCATTTTCCTTATACAAATGCCATCTTGGTGGACTGGTGCAGAAATGTATTAAAATGGTAGCACATTTTAATACAACGAGGGTCCTGGTGACTTGAGACCCTGAAGATTACAGATTTATAAACTCCTGTAACCTATTTTAAAATGACTAAACAGATGCTTATACAAAGGACAGAAACCACTAGTACCTCCTGCATCAGAAAAATGTAACAGCTATTATAAGTAGGAATCCTTGTTTGTCTCAGCCTACATTAATTTGACTGATCCCATCTTGAAAGCATCTACATTGGTAGCAGCAGTAACTTTATGATGTTTGCAGATCTGTAAACTTTAACAAAAGATAGCAGAAGGAAGAGCATAAGCAGAGTTGCAGTTTCACCTAGTAATTGCTTTGCTTAATAACTGAGTTGTCTGTCCCCACTGTGGTCTGTAAACAAGGAGTGTATCTCCAGCTCCTTTAGTGTATACATCTAGTTCATTCACCATTTGACAAAGTTTCAATAGATCTGTTCATTTATCACAGGGAGCGCTTGCCTTCATTCCCACAAAGATGATCAATCTGGCATCTCTAGCCACAGATGGCAGGGCCTATATCCTCCTCTAGTCTAGCTTATAACCTTTCCCAGCTGAACAGGCTCTTATAGACATTATTTGGCCCTTTACAATAGTTGTTTGTTTCACCCATTTTCAGATCAACTGAAAGGTAGAATAACAGAATTGGAAGGGACCTTGGAGATCATCTAGTCCAACCCCCTGCTCAAGCAGGAGACCTTAGTCTATATACCATCCCAGACAAGTCTCTTCTTGAAAGCCTCCAGTGTTGGAGCATTCACAACTTCTGGAGGCAGGTTGTTCCATCGGTTAATTGTTCTCAACTCTTAGGAAATTCCTTCTTAATTCCATGTTGCTTCTCTCCTGGATCAGTTTCCATCATTTGTCCTGTCAGTTGTCAAAGCCCAGATCCAACGGAGAAGTCTTGCTGGATACTTTTAGCTTAGCTTTTTGGCAAGTGAAATGTGATTGCCGATGTGTGTTTGTGTGCAGAGGTAAGGAAATATGTGTATCCGGTTCCTAGCTCACAGGAAAAACTCAGCGCCCGGACGGCGACCCTGCAGCTTTCACCAGCAAAAACGTTTCGCCTGTCAGGCCTTCCTCGCAGATAAGTCGGTCCCTCGCACCTTCCAGCGGTAATCGAGGCAGCCACTTCAAAAATCCCTGAAAAAATATATTGGGGGGGGGGTAAGGGAAACCCACACAAAACCTCTTCTCCGCCCTCCACCTGTCTCAAAGCATTCCGCCCGCACCGCGCGGGGCCTTCCGGACCCTCCCGCCGCGTCTCTTTCCCGCCCTCCAAGCACGCGGAGATTTTGCAGGGAAACCAGACGAGCGCGGGCACTGCGGGCGGGGATCCCCTCGTTGCGCCCAGAGCGCGCGGCGACGAGAGACCCAATTCTCTCGGTTCCCACGACGGCGTGCTTCGCAACCACGGGCAAACTTCTGCCCGCGCGCGCGTTCCGCCGGTCGGCGGAAAGTCCTGGCCCGCCTCGCAACTCGTCCCGCAAATCCCAGCCGGGTAGAGGGGGGGGGGGGAGGAAGGGGGCGGCCTTCTCACGCAGAAGGGCGCGGTGAGAGGCGGCGGGACGCGCTTCTTTCCTGAGTCCTGACCCGCCTGGGCTCGGCGGCTGCGCCAGCGCTTTCCAGTGGGGCGGGCCAGCCAGCCTGCCCGCTTCCCGTCTCTCTCTCTCTCTCTCTCTCTCTGTCTGTCTTTCTTTCTCTCTCTCTTTTTTGCACCACGCCCGAGGCCAGAAGCGCATCTCTCTCCGTTCCAGCTCGGGCGCGTCTCCTCCGGGAGCCAGGAGGAGGAGAAGTCTTCGCGCTGCTCCCGCCCCAGACATGAGCCCCCAACGCGGGGAGAAACGAGCGAGAGGTCGGCGGCGAGGCCAGCTGTTGTTGGCGCCCCCGCGGCTTTTGCTCCTCCACTTCTTCACCTGACGCCCCCGGGGCTGCGGAGGACGAACTCCTTCCCCGGGCCAACTGGAAAGGTCCCCTTCGGGGGGTGGGTGGGAAAATTGGGACTCGATTGCCTGCGCTGCCAGGTCGCGCAGCCGAGGAAACGGCGCCCGCCGTCCTTCCGCGCGTTCGCCTGGCTCCTGCGGTCTTCCTCACGTTCCGCCTGTCACGCTTCTTGTCCCGCGGTTGCTGAATTCTCGCCGCTGCCCAGCGCGCTTTTGAATCGGTAGGTAGGCACTGAAGAAGGAAAATGCTATATATATATGTATATATATATTCCTGGGACGGTGTTGTTTTTCTTATTAGCTGGGCTGCTTTTGGGAATGCCGTTTTTAAAAAGGTTTGTGATTGCACCAGTCCGTTTCTGCTCTGGAGTTGATCAGTGAAATCGGGTCGTGTGCAGTGGAACATGAACTCTTTCTTTCTTGTCCCAACATGATTTTTGGATTTTTCTCTCTTAGCCTTTTCATTTCTCTCTCTCCTTCTTCTTTCGCTGAGTTTCTGAGCTACCCGATAATTTCCCTGCAAACTAATGAAATATGTAATTGAAATCCAGACCCCCTAGGCTACAGCAGCAAACGTTTAAAAGGATCGAGGCTGGAGCAGGTCTGCAGTGGGAAAATAAATTGATCATAAAGAGTTAAAATAACTTTAAAGGACTGTCTAAATGCAGAGAGTAATATGTTATTGTTGGTACTGAAAGTATGTTAAAGGGTATAGCTCAGCTTTGTGTCCTATCTAACAATTCTTCTAACAATTTTTCTGTGACCCAGAACCTTTGGTTAAATACACCGATATATCTAACAATTTTTAGATATATCGGTGTATATCTAACAATTTTTCTGTGACCCAGAACCTTTGGTTAAATACACCGATATATCTAACAATTTTTAGATATATCGGTGTATATCTAACAATTTTTCTGTGACCCAGAACCTTTGGTTAAATACACCGATATATCTAACAATTTTTAGATATATCGGTGACAATTTTTAGATATATCGGTGTATATCTAACAATTTTTCTGTGACCCAGAACCTTTGGTTAAATACACCGATATATCTAACAATTTTTAGATATATCGGTGTATATCTAACAATTTTTCTGTGACCCAGAACCTTTGGTTAAATACACCGATATATCTAACAATTTTTAGATATATCGGTGTATATCTAACAATTTTTCTGTAACCCAGAACCTTTGGTTAAATACACCGA